AATTATTATAACATTATTATTATTATATCCGGCCTAATACTACCATTAATTTCACTATAATAGGATTAATGTTATACATTCCCTCAGCTACAAATATTGTATATATTGTAAAATATATTATTTTTTCCATGTGAAATTTCAAATAAAGGGGTGAACAACAATCCCAAGAGGGATTAAAATTATACCCTTAAATAAGTTTTGAACAACAGCATTGAATATATTTGATTCTTTTCTACCCAGTTATAGAAAATAATGATAAGGTCAAAAGTTATCTCAGAAAAATGTAGTTAGCAAATCAGGCTTTGTCAGTACCCAGAAGAAAAATTATATTAGGATAACATCTGTTTCAATTATTATACAAAATTTAATAGACGAATTAATTTAGTAATATTTTTTTAATAAAATTAAATTAAAAAAAAAAAAAAAAAAAAATAGTATTCAGATAATTATATACAAATAAAATTTAATCAACATAAGAATTTTAATATGAAATAGCTTAAATTTACTAAAAAAAATTAAAAAATAAGTCTTTCAACTTTATTCTAGATTCTGAGTAACTGCAACACGATTGTGCCCCGATCTCTTTTTACCTGATAAAACCATAACACCATTGCGCACCAAATTATATGTTTATATAATATGTATAATAATTTTTATACAACATAAAATAATGTATACAATACATACTTTCTATAATTTGCATATACATGCAATCAAACTATTAATTCATAAAATACACCTTTTTAAATTTTTTAAAAAAGAATAATCGATTAAGATAATGATAGTTATAGTAATAATATCGACTAATGACTATCATTAGCTCAATCAGCTATTCATTTCGATTTTGAAAAAATGTATTTTTAGAATTAATAGTATTCTTCTACTAAATACATCAACCATCTATAGAAGTATAAATTAATCCAACTGACCTCTTTCACTCTAAATTGGTTTTCAATAAAAATGGTACTTGGGTTTCAAGTTTAAAAAACTAATACTGCAATATCATTCACCCATTAATGTATCACTCCTGGCCGTGGAGTCTTAGTTAATCTAAGAGATTTACCTTTTTTTATCTTATATTTATAATTAGAAAACATTTTAACGTTAGTTTGAAAGTCCCAAAATCGTAGCGAGTATACATTCACAAAACGATTAATAATTAGTTACATTGAATGCTTGTATAATGTGTGTTGTATTCAATTGTTTCGTGTTTATAACATATGGGCCTTTATACGAATGAACAGTCTTCAAACTTTCAAAACACCTCGTATATATGTACTGTTAGTAAAAATATGTGATTGAGAATATTTATTTTGTTGTTGATGTTTTCGGGAAACTCAAAGTCAAGTGATTATACTTCCGGTTGTTGGATAAAGGAATAATTGTCAGAAGTTCGCTACATGTTCGTACAGCATATTTATATACGTGTACATAAATGCTTCTCGTTCTCATGTCAACACCCTCAAGCCAAGCACGCAAAGTTTATTTTATTTTGTGTACGGTATATGTGCACAAAGTGTACGCCGACAAATATATAAATATGCACTTTTTTTTCATATTTTTTTATTCCTCAGACATCGATTTAATGAGGTTCAGTAAGCTATAGGAGTAAATACTATAAAATATCTAAATAATTTAATACAATACCAATTAATTATTAATTATCAAATCTTATAATCTATGAAACAATAACAACATATCTGTATACTCGTATATATATATATATATGTTACCGGCAATATAAATAATCTGGTACTTTGCAAAATGCCAAAAATCACTCGGTAGTATACATAATACGAACTTTGCCTAGGTATTATGTAGAATGCCAATCGTGGAGTAGGCAATATGAAAAAAACAAAAAAAATTGTCTTTTATCGTAAATGTGCGTTTACGGTTTAACGCAATAAAGATTAATATTCTTTTACTACTGCAATAATAATTCTGAGATATAATATTGAACGTACTAATCATTTTATTACAATATCTTAATTTTTCTCGTCATTTTCGTGTCTCGTTTTAGTGTTGCAACTATGCATACGATTTGTATGAAGTCAAATTTTTATAAAAAACTACAAAATTTTTTTAAAAAAATTTGGCCACTAATACTAGTTTTTTATCTGATGAACAGTATAATGAGTTGATAAAAATTCAATCCACGAGAATTGGCTAAAGATTTTTAAAATGTGTTTGTAAGTTCAAGTGTTAAAATAAAAAGTGTATTTGCCTTGAAAATAACATTTTGTGCATTTAAAATGTCACTTTTCTACAACATTTTTTAATAAGTTAATAGTAGTTTAAGTAAAATATTTATATAATTATAAATAAAAATTAAATTTTGTCTGTAATATGAGTAATAATATATAATAATTATAAGAATCTTAATATAATATAAAATATAATGAAATGTTTTGTACTTTTCCTAAAAAAAAAAATTGACATTTTGCATAATGCTTAGGTATTTTATAAAATGCCTAGGTTATATGTAAAATAATATTGAAAATCTTATGTTTTATTTACATTGCCTAAAATAGGTCGGCAATTTGCATAATGTATAGGCATTTTGTAAAATACTTGAATTATCCATATTGCCGGTAACATATACATATAATTAAATTACCATTTATTCACACATTCAATGATCACTGCATTTAAAAAACAACACAACTTATAATTAAGTGATTCCTCTAATTATCTATATATGAAATAAGAAGCGTGTTTTCAAAAATTATATATTTAAAAGTTGAAACAGTTTTGGGCTAGACGTATACATTTTTCACTTTTTGGTCATCAAGGAAAAACTTTATTTTATCTAATATACAATATTATATAACACGTAACAAATGATCAACTGAAATTATGAATACAGTACATATAAATAAATGAAAATAAATATCATTTGAATATACGACGATTTTTTAGCATAATATTTTTAAGTTTAGAATTAGTAATTGCTCTAGTCTAAATAATTTATAATAATTATTACCCAGGTTAGTAAGTAATTAAACTTATATTAAAACGAGTAATTAAACTTATACTTTATAAATATTTTCAGATTTTAACTTACCTCTGATTAAATTTATATTATATACTGTAACCTTCAAACAATAATATACTGTTTAAAATCGATATTAATAGCTATCAAATGATATTGAATATTGCATATCAAGTGTTAAGACTAAATGATACTATATAATACTATGCATATAGTTTTAAATTACTTGCAAATGCTCCCTAAGAAAAACTCATTGCCCACTTTTTTCTTTTTTATAAATTTGGAATTTCTACAGTTTGTGAATAAATTTATTTCACCAAGTGTAAATTACAAAATAGCATATACATATGTATGTATATTGTGCGATATTGTACAACGGAATTACAACTAAGACGCGATGTACATTTCCAAAGTCGCTGTTGGCAGTTCCAGGTATACATGATGATTTATACCACGATTATAGACGAAGACGAAATTTGGTCTCCGGGCAGGATTAAGTGCATGTTTTGAACCTAGTACACAAATTCTCCTAACCAAACCAAAACCAATCATAACCAATCGACCGGCGTTCACGAAGTGATTTTACTACGTGTGATTCCGAAACAGGCGGTGGCAGAGATGGGTAAAAGAGACGCGGATGAACGTTATCAAAACGCTGGGTGATAGTTGACACTGACCTAGGAGCATATATAAATATATATACTATACAGACCACGAGTACAGCGCATGTACTATAATATTGTTGTACACGTAGGGACCCGACATCGATGTAAACAATAATCGTCCTTATGATAACAGTCATCGAGTAGTATTTAAGTACGTTAGTGCATACAAAAAGACACGGTAGCGCATTATAATATAAATATATGTGTACGTAAATAAATAATATTTGAATCGCTTCATACTAATGAGGCCTTGATCCGTATCTTTAAACTTTTGGAGAAATGAAAATAACTTTTGATTTACTCAAAAATGTATAAATATATAAGGTTTTTATAAAAGTTAATAGATATTACATAGTAAAATTAAATTCTTTAAATCAATATTATTATTTTAAAAATGTAGTTTAGGTTGTTAGCACTTAAGTATAGTGGACTTAGACCATTTTTACAAAAGTCACTAATGTATTTGATTTATACTGTTTCAGGTCATGAAATTAAATAGTAAAAACGACAATATTATCACTAAACAAATTATATTAACTATTAAAAATAAAGAAATAGGTATTTAATTCAAAAAATAACAATAAAATATTAATTTCTTATTATAAATTAACAATTTCTCTTCTAGTTTCATTAGAATGATATAATAATGTATACAACTTTTATAACAAAAAATACTCAAAAAAAAAACATAATTTATTTAATTGAAACATTATCACTTTTTAATATTTTCATATAATACTATTTAATTTATATTTAACTATAAATTATAACAAAATCTTTTTCATAAATCTCTCTAATTAAAAATATTAATTCGTTTTAAGTTTATGTTATTCAAATAAGTCTTTTTTAAATGCTTTTGTCTGTTTCTTATTTTTCTATGATTTTATTATTCGTTATCCGTTGACCACGTGAAAATATTATCATAAAATTCTTTGTACGGATGGTCAATGTAGGAATATGATTTTTTAATATCATTCATCTTGGATATTTTTATTAGAAGTCTATCGTTTTCGTAAGCATGAGTATCTGGAAATTTAATATTAGTTCTGTGTTTTCCTGGTTGCATAAGAGGGAATGTAGATTTTAAAAGGCCATTGATTAATGGATAGCCAAAAATAGTTCCGGGATATTCTGAATTGTAGATAAATTGAGAAAATTATGAAATTCCAAAATTAGTTTTTTGATTTCTTGAAAATGAACGACTTTCTATGGAAATAGTATCTTTTTTATAATACTTCGGCCACCACAATTTGAAGTTTAATATGTCTGATGTGTTTATTTCAACTACTTGAAACTTATCCGATTTTGCCTGACAAATTTACTCAATAAAATGGTGTGTTGTATAAATTCGATTTTTTTTTTTTTTTTTTTAAATAACGCTTTATCAATACAAAATCTCTATCGCATGGCAGGAAAGAATGACCACGTACAGGGAAATTTTGAATAATTTTCTTAAATCGTCCAATATCGGTTAAGGCCAATAACATTCTAGACAAAGTGTGATTTTTGATCTGACCGCCGCAATTATAAGAATATAAATGAAGTTCATTAACAGAAGTTGGTATATAATTTTTTATGTAGTAATCCAAAAAGGAACAAACTTCATCTGGTCCTTTTTTAGCTTGTCCTTCATGATACAGAAAAATTGTCGATTTACCTGTTTTTATATCATGAACACAAAAAATTGATACTGATAATTGTCTCCAATAAAACATTTCCTAAATAGGAATTTTAGGAAGACTTAAATTTTGCATATAATCAAAACATAAAGCAACAGTGTTACTTTGAATTTTGTTTTTTTCCTCTACTTCAACCTTAAGTTCGTTTTAAAACTTTTTGCTTTTTCGCTTATGGACCATTAACTCAGCTACTGCAACTTTTTTGGCGGCATCGTTTAAACATGGATTTTTTATTTTTAAATTTAAATTTTCACAAGTACAACATACATCAACTTGCGGGCGTCCAAATCTCAATTCAAAATTGCCTTTAAAAAACTTAAAATATGAAACATATCTCACTTTAACGTTAGGGTATTTAGCTTTAAATAAATTATACATAGTTTTAATACTTAATTGTTCATTCAAATATTTTACTTCTTTACCAGAATAATGACTAATTTTAGTAGGAAACGAATCTATATGATTTTGCATAAGAACTTTAGTTTCCCCTGATAGAGCATTACTAGCACTATGTAAACCCCTTTGATCTTTGGGACTTTTACCATGTATTGTTAAATCTCGTAATCTTTTGATTCTTTTCATAGACACAGAATGTAATGATAAAAATGCGTTTAAACATACCATTTTTTTAAATTCACCGACGTAAACAAAGTATTTAAAACTAAATTCATTTACTCTTGGATTTGTGATTTTTCTTGGACGATGTCTTTGGACTTTGAGAACTTCAATTAAACTTTGTAAAAACAAATCTTGCTGATTTTTTGAGGTCATGGAATATAATCTAGTCAGAATTTTTGTTTTGTTTTCAGGTGAGATAGAGTTAAATCATTTCTTTTTACATCTAAAAAAAAGTTTAACAAATAACAATGAAAATAAATAACATTATTATTATTAAAGTTATTACTTGCAAGGTCCGGTGGTTTTTTTCTCAACAAATTTGCCTTTATTATTAATATATTCAACACCAGTTCGTATAGCTTTTTTAATTATGTTTCTTTTATATGAATTTACATTGCTACGTTTCTTTCCAACTTCTATATTATCCATTATGAGTTATATACATACAAATTTACAGTTAACTTGTATAACGATCAGGAAACTGCACTTTTGATAACATGATTAATGTAAAATCATAATCACAACACTAGAAAACTTGATATCACAATATCAGCTGATATTATTTTTGATAATAATATTAGATTTATGGAAAAAGCATTAGTCCGTGGCTATATCCCTTTTAACAAAAATGTAATGTATAATATGCTTGTTTACAATAGGTTTTAGTGATAGGACTAAGACTTAACATAAATCAATGTGTCTAAGTAATGTGATAATGAATCTGTAATAATCACGTTTTTGATAAAATGTTGACTTAGGCCTTTTTTGAATGAAGCGATTCATTTGCAGTCTCGGCGGGCTTCACGTGTGTACACTACTACACAATCTCGACGTACATCTATGATACGCACGTCTCGTCCATCGCCTAACAACGAGCTTTTGGACGTTAACCGCGGACTAATAATACTGCAATTATTGTTCGTTCCACCCAACGACATTGTTATTGGTAAGTATATAATTTTGAAATAAATTTCTAAAAATACTCAGACGGCTAAACACGTAAATGTGGCTTTCAGCGGTAGCGTATTAAACGTACTAATAAACGGCATTATACTGCACTGAAACGGAGTGATGCAAAAAAAACGAAAATAAAATTGTTGAGTGGAATCGGTTTAAAAGTAGATACAAACACGTTTAGGTTAAATTAATAAACAATTTAATATCGTGAAATTATAATAATAATAATAATAAGATTATATAAAACGCACTTCGTACAACGGCAACCGATCGCATGTCTCGACAGACTGCCTCCATATATCTGTGCTACAATACCCGTATACATACCACACCCGACATACAGAATGTGCCATCTCAACACTAATCGCTGACTATAATAATGTATACATATATACTTAAGACTACAGTATGAATACAAACTAATACATATTAAATACACTGGGTGTATTGTTTAATTTCAACAAAAATCAAACCGTTTCGCATAGAAAGTAAATAGCACAAACTTTTTCAGAACCATAAGTCCTCCATTAACTTGATTAAAAACAAGACATTATATTTTATGATAATATTTTCATTTTCAAAGAATACGCCTTTCCTTATACGCAAGTACATAAACAATATCATCAACATTGATGTTATTCGAGAGATTTATATATGATCTATGTGCTTAATGTGGAAATACAAGTGTACATTTGAGGGGCTCGGTAGTGATTTAGAGGTATCAAACTATCATTATGCACCAATGACTGTCGTAACAAATATTTTTTATTTTTTTTTCCTAATATAATTCTTAATTTAAATTATAAAGAATCATATGATTTTAACCATTTCGTAAACAACATTTTAGATACAATTTTATTGAAAAAAATCTTTTAACTTTGAAAACTAATTCATTCAGTGTATTATAAATAAATTCTCATGGTTCATTATCGTCGAATTAGCAATTTAATGTACAATATATTATTGTTTAATACATTTTATTATAACCGTGTGGATATTTTTTAAACAAAATTATATATTTAAACTTAAACTTCGTGTATAAGACGAATTTTAGAAATCGGATAAAAGTAATGACTTAATGATTAATTCATATTTAAAAATAATCATTTAAAATGTGTTGATAATATTATAAATGTTTATGTATAGTTATAGGTGTATTGATCTTTAATTTACTATATGTTCATATTTTGGTAAACTTAACCTAGACTCTCCATTAAATCATTTTTTTGAGAGGTATATATAATTTTCAACTTTTTTAAAATATATAATATTATAGACAATTGTTATACGTTTTGGTACGCCTTATATTACATAAAAGTCATTCATTTTTGGGTATTGACATTTGAATTGATAAAATCGTTAAATAATTTTAAATATTAAAGCATTTATAATGAAAAATTTGATTGGTTTCTATGATAAATAATTATTTGCGTTAAGTAAAATAAATAAAAATATGTATATTGCTCAGAAGAAATTGAAGTTTACCAAAAATATTTATATTTATGGAAAATAAAACGATCTGGTAAGAAAGTTGTGTTGCATTAAAACCGAAAAGCAATTCTTTAAAACTGTATATTTCATAATCTGTAAATATTTATATTTTTATATCTCAATTGTATTCACTGATTTATTTATATTTTTTCTTTCAATATAAATTTATTAATAAAAATGTCAAATGAAAACATGAAAAAAGATTAATTTCTACGTAGAATCCTAGATATATTTAAAGAATAAAATATGTTTTGAAAATTGTACAAATTATAAACTATTGAAAATGGAAAATTCAATAATTAAGTATTTTTTTAATTACACAGTAGTATAAAATGTGATATATTTTAGGTGATTAGCAGACAATGAAGTAGCTGAATATAATTTATATACTTTAAATATACAGAACATATAAATTAATGAGGATTATTGAGAACGAACTATAGAAATATGTTTTTACTGTATGAATATTTTGCAATTTATGATAAGATAAAAAACGAATAATTAAATGAAATTGTAATTCATTGAGCTTCAATACTATATTTGATAAAAATAAAATGTAGTACCTTCCATCAAAGATTATAACTATGTAAATAACTATGTAAATCAGCTTAAAAGTTTATAAATCAAATAGAACTAAATATCAATTAAAATAGTATAAGTAAAAAAATAATTATTTTCTAACTTTATTCGCATTATTTGTTGTGATAACTGTTTATTATTCCGAATATGTTTTTTATTAACCATCAGATTACAATATTATTATTAAATATAAAAACGAAAAGTGTATTGTTAATAATTGAATAAATCTTGAATTATTTCATCTATCCTCAGTATTATGACAACATTACATTGAGGTAACTCAATTAAAGTATTTTATTTAGAAGCGCAACATCTGTGGCTTTACATCGTTCGCAATATTATCGATATATAATTTTAAATTTTCTATTTAGAAAATTGCTTATTTCTCGTATCACTCGAAATAAACATACAAAAATAAAAAATAAATATGTCTTAAATATTTATAAGATAAAATTACAAAATATATGGTAATATCCTAAATAACGAGTATGTATAATAGTATTCCATAACTTAATGTTCTGGTAATATTATGCTTTAACTTATGTAAAAACATTATGTACACAAACTTAAGACCATCATTTTTTAAACTTATTCAAAATTAATGTAATATTAATTATGCTTTACACTATTAAAAGAATAAAAAAAATATTATAATTTCAATATTCAAAGACAAAAATTCTGAGAACATTTTAAATACAGTATTTACATAATATTATGATTACATTGTTACAAGAACATTCAATGAACAATAACAGTACCAATTTAAATCTTATTTAATAAATCGAAAATTACATTAATCTATTCAGTTTAATATTATTTATGGTCACTATATATCAGAGGTTTATATCGATTCAGTAAAATTTCAGGCCGCATTTTTGGAGTGATCTTTAGAATTTAGTATATTTCTTTGTTTACACTGTTACAATATTTAAACACCACGCAACATATCCATTATCTTCTCAATCTCACATTCACAAGAGAAAAATTTGCTCTCAAGTAGTATCTATTTCTTCAGGTTATTTTCTTTACAAATTTTTTGTTCCCTTTATAAACCATTCTATTGGTTTATTTGTTAATAATAATTTTTTGGAGATCTACTTAGTGTTATTACCCAACTGCCACTTCAATTTCGTAGATTTTTTTCTGTTCCGTGATCGTCGATACGCCCATGGTTATTTTGAGAAAATTATTTTACGAGTACGAAGAAAGAAACCTTAATGCTCGTTACACCCTAAAAAACTACTATTTTTCAGATCCAGACATATGTATCCTGTATAACATTAAATTTCATGAAAAATACCTAGTTAGAATATTGCTTATTTTTTTATTTTATTTAATTTTTTTTTTTAAATAATCATAATAAATTACATAACACATACAATACATTTAGTTATTTATAAGATTTTATATCTCTTTCAGCAATTGTTTGTGTTGAGATTGAGAGTAATACAATTTGATGAAACATAAGATAGATATATGTGATTAATGTAATGATAAAATAAAGAAAAGTTTAAATATTGAAATTATTTGAAAATTTTAGTGGACAGTTTTACATATACAATTTTAGTTTATAATTACAATTTCATTTACACTAAAAATAATAAAATATAATAAATATTATTATGTAAAAAATGTTAAAAATGTATTAAATTATACTAATTGAAAAAACAGCCAGTAATATATAATTGTTTAGGATTAAGTTTGGTACAGTAAACGTTTTTTTTTATAGGAATACGGCTTATGCGCAAGTTTTCATTTTGATTAATTTAATAGGTTTTAATATTATAAGCTTGAAGTAATTCAATGCATTTTGTTCTTCCGTTTCTCATCAACGATTATAACTAGTTTCTTTTTGTGCAGTTTTCGTTAGGCATATTAATACTTTTTCTAAGAATTTATTTCCACCGAACGAAAAAAATAAACAAAAGATGAAAAGAAACCCATCAGAGACGTTCACTCGTCAATACTTGACGAGTAGACTGTAGGTGATGCGACACCATCAGCCCCAGTGGTTTTTCGGATTTTCAATGAGGAAACAATCTATTACGAGATAAAATATGCTTTATCCTACATTACTTATACTTAATGATATCCCATTAATATATTATCTAATCGGTTAACAGTTGAATGGAAATTGTTCGAACAGTTTTTGCGCTCCGTAATCCATAAATTCATTCTGTGAACATTATTAAACACGCTGACATATTATTATCATTGCGATAGAAATTCAGAGAATTTTGTCAGCGTACTCTCTCTTTCTCTCTTTTTCTCTCTCTCTCGCACATCGAATTACTATACG